ATGCACATAGATTTGTTTTATGATTTTATACGCGTAGTTTTCATTCAGAGGTTGGCGGCCGTGTAGCGGCCTCAGGCACTATTTGATTTCCAGTGTATTTTGAGCCGGTGAGTCCAAATATTACCTTTATTTTCCCTTATCACCTCTCAGTTTTCTGGAGAGGCGGCTTTTTTCCCAGGAAAATGAGCAAATTTGACGTATATTTGACATGCATGCAATTTATTTTTAAGAATTTTCTTTGACCCTTGGTAGAGTGATTTCTGTGTATTTTGAGCTGCTTAATTAAAATTCGAATTTAATTTAAAGTTTTCCTAGCACCCATCATTTTCTCGAAGAAGTCAATTTTTCTCAGAAAACGAGCTGTTCTAGTATTTTTGCGACGATTTTCTTGTTCTAAGGAGTTTTTTAGGAGTATTTTAAAAATGTACTCGATGTACGATACATTGATCTCTGTGTATTTTGAACTGATGAATTCGAATATGATGTAACTTTTTCCTAGCACCCATCATTTTCTCGAAAAAGTCAATTTTTCTCGGAAAACGAGCTGTTCTAGTATTTTTGCAACGATTTTCTTGTTCTTAGGAGTTTTAAAAATTGTCTTAGCTCCTCTTAAGGTCTCTCCTGAAATCCTAAGAGCCACTGGGCCCGAATTGGACTTCCATTTATCTCTGTCAATCCGCCTTTTTCTGGAAGGTCAAATTTTTTGGACTGTTCCCACTTCCAGGGTCTGAAAATTTTACGGAGTGTGATATATCAATTCTCATGTAATTCCAGCCGGAAACCTCGAATATTTTCTCAGAAATTTGAAATCACCCACCATATTCCAATGGAATTGGAAATTTGCCATTGCCAATTCCATATGAAAATTGTCTTGAAAATACAAAAAAAAAAAAAAAATTGTTCTCCGATAGAAAGCAACTATTCCGGCAGAATGGATTGTTATAAAAAAAATTGGAGTTCATATCCAGATTCAGCATATTAAAATACATACAAATATTTTTACCACGAATCCAGGAAAATTAATTAAATAGAAATTGAAAGCACGACCAAAATTAGTCAATTTCGCATATATGCCAGGGAAAAAGTGTCTCTTTTAGAAAACTGGGGGATTATAGAATAGAATGGAGGTATTTTTCGGACTCAGAAACTCATTACACATATGAGTAAAGATCTAATATGTACCTGAGAAAACTTGTACCTTTATTATGTAAGGGGTAACAGTAGCAATAACACCGAACGTGGTGCACGATTTTATTAAATGGACGTATTTATGCTAAAAGGAACTAGGTTCCTCGCAAGCTCTATGCACATAGTTCCTTTTAGCATAGATACGTTCAAATAATGTGAAAGACATGGCAGTAATCATACGAGTTCGACTGGGATAAGAGGAAATTGTTGGTCTCCATTAGGCGCATACATTTTTCCGCTTATGATAAAAAAAAAAAAAATCTAATTATCCTAATTGAGCAAAATACAGAAACGTAGCAAAGGCGCCCATTCATGCGAGGACTGAAAATCTTTCCTCATTCGGATTTTAAGAGACCAATTACTCTTAATTGGATTTGAAACTTATTTTAAATTCTCGGATGCTATGATGAAAACAACATGGATTATTTATTACGCATTGGTATTTTAGTTTTATGTGTAAGATATTGAAGCTTGCGTTAGATAATTGAAGTGAAAGATTATGAAGTATACAATATTAGAGAGCTTAGACACTTAAAAAAAGACGTATTCGAAGACGGCCTTGATAAATTTGGCTCTTTATATAATTGCTGGTTATCAAAGCCGTCTGCGAGTCGAAACAAATCTTTCGATATTTTTTCGACTCGCTCAATGAGATTCAGGCAATACATATCTTGATATTAGGGGTTGCTGTTTCAATTCAAGCTGCTCTGTTTCGTTTCTGGTTCAGGTTTTGCGAATGACGACGTATTTCGCGTATGTGACATTAAATCCGCGAATTTGGTTTTCATTAATCCATTTTAATTTTGTTTTCCTTCAAATGAAAATATGGAATTTCTTAGCAACATTGCAATGCTCCTGGTCCTTTTTGCAAAATGCAATCCAATTAGCAGAAAGGAACTGCTATTCCGACATTCCGTTGAAGACCTTAACCGCGTGAAAATACTAATGTTGCTCCCAAAATGAACCAGGAATAATTCGTGAAAAAAATTGTTGCGCCTAGTTCCTACAAAAAATTAAGAATAAGTTCAGTTGTGAGTTTGATCAAAGGCGATTTAATTATCAATTCCCTGGCTTAAACAATCAAAATAGCCGATCGGTTATTAATATTGATGATGGTATACCCAATCTTACAGATTGATTTGCTGGATGATATTCAAGAGAGCTGGTATCTTTCATTATTTTAAAGAATTTTGCCATTATTATATGCATGCTTACAAATTAAGAATATTCCAATTCAAATACGGCCCATCAGCTTTTCTCCTTTAGTTAAGTAGTAGACTAATATATGATGTATTATTTTTTTCTCTTTTTTTTAAATTTGCACATTTTTAGCTAGATATTAAAGCAAAACTTCCGTTCCTTCGCAAACATTCACGCCGGTGCCTACAAATTAGGAAGTGCTAGTCTAGAACCGCAATTTCTTCTTCCTCAAGTTGTATTCGCCAGTATCACCTATAGATTGAATGTCTTGGGTATGTTTTAAAGCAAAATAAATAGTAATTATATCAGGAAACGCGTTGCACTGATCTTTAGATCTAAAAAATCGCGTCGAATACTTTAACGCCATAGGTGATAACACAGTGCGTAGTCTCTAGGAAATATCGTCTTTGCTTGAACACCCTCAAAAAATTACCATCTTGGAACGTAAAATAATGTTCTTCGGGCATTTTTCAAAATTAGGGCTCGATTGAAGACCCCAAAAGTCTGAACAGTTCTGGTCAACATCGTTGTATGTACAGGGCCACTCACTTACGATAAAGAAGAGCGCCTTCAACCCACTGCGTAATCTCAATGCAAAATTCTGATACCACTATTCGTGCGTCACGACAGTCATTTTGCATAACCGGACAATTGAAGGGAAATCATTGACCCAGGCAACAGGGTACGAATTTCAGAGATTTGATACGTGATTTCTAGCGAACAAAACCTCCGGGGTGCCCCGCCTGGCATCCAATAAGCCCTGCCTCCGGGGGTGCTCCACCCCCAAGCTTCCAAGCCCAAAGAATGAATTGAGCCCTGCCTCTGGGGGTGCTCCACCCCCAAGCTTAAATTTGAATGCATTGACTCTTTGTATAAAATATTAAAATCCTACAGGATTTGCAACAACCGGTGATGGAGTCATTCCTGGCAATTTGGGAATAAAGGACCAAGTAATGGCATTAAAGTGGATTCAAGAGAACATCGAGACTTTTGGAGGAGATCCGAACCGCGTCACTGTTTTTGGAGACAGTGCAGGAGGCTCAAGTGTCCATCTATTACTCCTCTCCCCGCTAACCAAAGGTGTGTAATGTGTAACTCCTTTTTATGATACAATGTTCAGGACTTCCTTAGCTCCCTTGATTGGACGTATTTCTATCGAACAGAACTATGTGCATTAAGACATGAGCTCTGAGACCCGTAAGCATATGTGCACAACAGGGCTCACGTCATAATGCACGTAGTTCCGTTTGATAGAAATACGTCCGATTAATGAAGCATGAGGGAAGCAGCTAATTAAGAAGCAACTCTGAATACGGCTCTTAGAATGATGCGATCTGATGATGCGTTCGATTAATGATTCTGCTTATTCCATTGGTAGTTCTGGACAACAAATTATTATGGTCAGTATACTTAAATAATGATCTACCTATCGATTACAGAAAAGTTGGTTCCAGTAATTCTGATTTTAATTATCATAACTGTAGTTGAAACTAATGGCAGATTTAAAACAAATCGATGGCGATTTTTTTGAATGAGTCAATTCCGGGAAATCGATTGGATTTTCCGTAAAAATTGATTCGATTTTAAAAGTAGATGAAAGAAATCGGTTTCAGAAAAAAATCGAATTTTTCAAAATAGAATCCTGTTCAGAGACGAACGTTTCTTCTCCAGAAACGAAAGTTTCTGGTCCGAAGATAAACGTTCTCCTCTTCTAAGCATCAACTTTTTGTTCTGGAGACAAAACATCTCTTCCATGAGCGACTACTTAATGTTTAGGTGAGGGAATATTCCTCCACCCACCTGTGACTGGTCGTTTAGGTGAGAAACTTTTGCTATATATAATCGTATCAAGGAACAACACTCCACTCCGGGGAAGAAATATTCGTCTCCTGTATCGAAACTACCCACTGACATGGTACTCCTTAAGCACTAACTGGTTGCTCTAGAGAGACAACATTTCTCTCGAAAACAACAGCTCAATGCAGTAGAAGAGAAATGTTTTCTCTCCCGAGCAACTAGTTGATGCTTTGGAGAGGAATGAAAAAAATCGATTTTTTTCGAAAGCGATTTCAGAAAACACTTAGTTGTCCAAGTTCGACGCCAAAAACATAATTACTACTTAAACTGATCTTGAAATGAAACTCGGGTTACACAGAACCTGGGCCTTATGTGACACATCAATGTCGGAAATTTCAATTTTTTTTCAATAATTCGATTTCGGATCGAAAAACCGATTCCAATTTTTAATCGACCTCAAAAAATCGATGCAATTTAATCGATTTTTCAAAATATCGATTAAAAATTGTCATTCCTAGAGCCACTATCACCCAAGTGATACCTGAACGACGCACCGAGTTTGAAAGCTACAACGCCTACCGGCGCTGGGAGACTTACCTACCGCACTCTTCCAACCAACAATCAGGAATTTCACCAGACCGATTTTTTTCCGTTTCATACGCCGTGTTTTTCGATGATCGATGTTTCCGTCAAAATTGGACTTAGGAATGGGATGTTGGGAAGATCTTATTAATGTTTGATAATCTTAAAGCTGAAACCATTAAAACCTGATTTGAGTCTAGCGTGACTGGCCCATTTCTATTATTCTTGTTTTATTCCTTTCTTCTGCAACGCATAATAAGGAATAATCCACGGGGGAATATCTTCAAGCGGCACCGCAGCATGCCCTTGGGCTATGATTGATCGGGAGCTGGCGATAACGAGGACAAAAAAAGTCGCAAATTTGTGCGGGTGCCCCTCCCAACCGTCAGAAGCATTGCTTGAATGTCTCCAGAAGACTCCTGTCGACAATTTAGTCGAAAGTTTTCAGAATTTTCGGGTGAGTACCTGCGCATTTTTGCATTTTTATACAAATTGTTGACTCCTTCAATAAACCACTAGATAAGGTACGAATTTCAGCATTCTGATACATGTCTCTTTGCCAAAATTTTAGGTAAAACACGATGCTCACAACGAAAATTACCGAAATTAACTCCTTCCGAAGATATTTAATGATTCTTGATGCGTGAATTGAAACCACCCGCTCATGAAAACTCAATGCTCTGAGTGATTCACATCGCGCGCTAAACGTTATCATGATCGTCTCTGCGATATAAAAATCTGGCAACCTCAATCTTGATGCTTCGGCTCAGCTATAGCAAATTACTTAAAGTTTGAAAAACACATGGTGGGAAATGAACATCACTCGATTGAGAAGCTTGCTGAAACCGTTGTAGTGTGCGATTTGACTCACGTAAAGCTTTGAGTTTCTTATGAGCGGGCAGTTCAAATTCCTCGTAACCAATATAAAATAAAAATGTTAATATCTCCGTTAGGAGTTGGTTTCAGTAATTTTCGTTGCGCGAATCGTGTTCTACGTTAAATCCTGGTTAAGAAGCATGTATCAGAATGCTTAAATTCGCACCTTGTCTAGTGGTCCATTCTCAGCATCTTCTTCTATCAATGTCTTGCGTTGCACGAAGAGGTCGTTCACAGGGTGGGTTGAAGGGAAAGAAAGATTGGAAAGATATGAAATTTCAGAGGAACATTTCATGAAATTTCACGCGCCTGTGCAATATTTCATATTTCTCAGGGGCTACAGTATGCAACCCGCACTCAAACACACACAAATAGAAGAAAGTCATATTTTTTACATTTAGCGAAATTTGAAAAGGAACCTATCTTTTTCAATATCTTTCATAAAGTCCTGAACTTTGTCTTTGAACGGTTGCCTTGGGCTGGTACATGGTAGGGACGGAGGGGGGAGGGGCTCTAACTGGAAGCGCAAGGATTACCACTTGTGTGGTATTTGAAATAGTAAAAAAAAAAAAAAAAAAAAAAAAAAAAAAAACTTTCATAAAATATTTCACGTGAAATTTCAAGAAATATTTCACGTGAAATTTCAAGAAATATTTCACGTGAAATTTCAAGATTTTATTTCTCATGAAAAACACCCACCCTGGTATTTATTTTACAAATTTACGTATTTCTGCTAAAAGGAACTAAGCGGAGGAGCTAGGAGGAAGTAGAATGCCCGGGTTGGATTGGCGTGTGGAGCTCAGCGACGAGCTCATTCCGTCCTATGATCACAATGATTTTCCATGGCGCGGCGCGGCGCTTAGTTCCGTTCGGCAGAACACACGATCCGGGATTCTGTAATCCTCAAAAGGAACTCCTATTGGCGCTTAGTTCCCTCGAGCAGAAATACGTCCTAGTGACCATTTGCACTTGAGCAATAAAAACTTAAATTTTATGAGTTGATTTTATAATCGAGGTCTAGAATAAATGGATTCCATTTTGCAAAGAGGAACCAGGAGCATTCCAATGTCGCTAAGATTGTGCAACTTTTTTTGCCCTGCAAATATAAACTGGACGTAATTCTGTCGAACGGAACTATGTGCATTATGACGTGAGCCCTATCATGCATATATTCTTATGGGTTCCAAGACTCATGTCTTAATGCACATAGTTCCGTTTGGCAGAAATACGTCCAACAATACAAGTTCTATCTTTACTCTCAATAAACTATGAATTCAACACGAAAATTACCTTTGTATTTGATTGTTTTCATTATTTCAGTAGTTTTATTGCGAAGAATGTATGTTGTACAATCCTAGCAACTTTGGAATGCTCTTGGTTCCTTTTTGCAAAATGCAATCCAAATGTGGGCCGCAACGGAATAATTGATTGAACCGATTTAAAAACTCATGAGCCCTGTTTTTCGTTGATCACGAAGGACGCTAGGGCTCATGAGTTTTTGGACTTCAGCCCGTCCAACAGAAATCGATTCAATTTTGAAACCTTTTTCCATAGGATGATTAAAGGTTCACCGTCGACGGAACTCGCAACGAAAATTGAGAAATCCGTGCTCTTTCATTAGGTATATTACACCTACTATTGCACTCTAACAATAAAATTATCAATATGAAATTAGCTGATTTTATAGGCAGGGTTTCAAATCGGATGGGACAATGAGCCGCAATTTAAAAATCATGTTTTAAAACTTTTTTTGCAGGATGATTTCATGCTGCCTTTGACAGAGTTTGCTCCCGTAATTGAGGAATCAACTGCTCAGAACGCTGTATTAACTACCGATCCCCGCATGATTAAATCGGAGCTACCTTGGATCACAGGCCTAAATACAGCTGAGCATATGAATTATTCCGGGAGTATGAAAAGCTACTAATATTACTCATGATTATGAATTAATCAGGGATTCAATAACGACATATGTGGACCTTTGAGTTGTATGAAAACCGACCCTTATACGTTAAGTAGTAACTAGTGCTTGTGAGATGACATTTTATCTCCACCAAAAGACACATCGACGGCGAAACTACCAGACCACGTACCCCGCTTTGTGACGCTGTAGACTTCCTGTCATATTTTATTTCTTAAATGAAGAACTTCTTAATGCCAGTTCTTAAAAACCTCCATGTTTTTTCCTCTCTGTGCGAAGAAAACTCTGAGAAAAGTTCAAACAATGATATAGATTTGTTCTCCATCGAAAAAATAAAATAGGAGCGGAGAATTTTGAACACCGCAAACGAGATACGTGGTCTGGTAGTTTCACCGTAGATATGTTTTGGGGTCACTGATACAATTAATTTTACACAAAGTTTGAATTTTCGAAAAATATTCAGCGCTTAGTTGTTTTGTAATTTTCAGACCATCAGCCTGATATTTGAGATTTCATGTTTGTCGACTGGGCAAGACAAGACAAAGATTCAGGTGGAATGGAGTTATGTGATTGGCAGATTTCATCAGTCATCCTCTTTGTCAGGCCTATATTGGGTGAATTTTACGAAAGCTAAGTCAGTATAGTGACTTTGGCTTCTCGTCGATTCCGCGCGACGTAAGCCTGAAATAGAGGATGACTGACGAGGCCGACCAATCACATAACTCCATTTCACCTTAATATAGTCTTGTCTCGTCCAGTCGACGAACACTAAATTTCAACAATCAGGCTGCGCGCTACCAAAACCGGCTCAAAATATAGCCTAGAAACATGGAAGTTAGCCAAATCCAAATCAGTCGACAGCTTGCAAACATTTTAGAGGAGCCTTCTTGGTTGTAATAAGGATGTTGAAATTAAAAAATTAAACAAATCGAGAATTACTCGTCCAGACATGCAAGACTTTTTGAATTTGTAAAATTCGGTCAACTGCATCGGCTATTCATAAAATCATGAATTTAACTCTTGGCCCTCGCCATATCGACGGTGAAAGTACCAGACCACGTATCTCGGTTTGCGACGCTGCAGACTTCCTGTCATACTTTATTTTTTAACTGGAAAACTACGGAAAGTTAATTCTTGAAAACTTTCCTGTTTTCTCTTTTCTGAGCGAAGAAAACTCTGTGAAAATTCCGATAAATTATATTGATCTGTTCTCCTCCAAAAAAAAATAAATTAGGAGCGGAGATTTTTAAACACCGCAAACGAGATACGTGGTCTGGTGCTTTAACCTTCGATATGCATTGCATTGCACATGCATATGATTGCATTGCGCTGCTGTTTAAGGCAGAAATGCTGTGACTCCATCCCAAAGGTTTCCTTTCTTCCGTACATGATGCACCATAAAAAACACTAACTTCCGCACTATTACCAAAATAAAACCTAATCATGCCTCGGTTTTCGTGTCAAATTCTCAGTAATAAGTCAGAATCATCTAAAAAAATCGAATCATGAAGATTATTTGGTTCTCGTGGTTTGGGAGGTATTATTCTGTAGAAGACAATCGGAAAAATATAGGATAGGTATACAGCGTTTTCTTTTAGGCGGCTTTGCATGTGATAAAACTTAACAGAAGTAAGATATTAATCACCTACGTTACTCTCTTTGCTTTCTTCTGAAGTAACTATAGTTCGCTCGAGTTCAATGATTGTAGATTTAATGGACCACTAGACAAGGTACGAATTTAAGCATTCCGATACATGTTTCTTAACCAAAATTTCACGTAGAACACGATTCGCGCAAGGAAAATTACTGAAACCAACTCCTAACGAAGATATTAACCTATTCATTTCACATTGGTTACGAGGAATTTGAACTGCCCGCTGACAAGAAACTCAAAGCTCTACGTGAGTCAAATCGCGCACGACAACGGTCTCAGCAAGTTTCTTAATCGAGCAATACTATTAGCAATTTGCTATAACTGAGCCGAAGCGTCAAGATTGAGGTTGCCAGATTTTTATATCGCAGAGACTGTCATGATAACGTTTAGCGCGCGATGTGAATCACGTAGAGCATTGAGTTTTCATGAGCGGGTGGTTTGAATTCACGCATCAAGAATCATTAAATATCTTCGTAAGGAGTTAATGTCGGTAATTTTCGTTGTGTGCATCGTGTTTTACGTAAAATTTTGGTTAAGAAACGTGTATCAGAATGCTGAAATTCGTACCTTATCTAATGGTTCATTACAGAAAATTAAAGAGTTCTGTGAATCATCCAATCGACATGAATGCAGCCTAACATCTTCCTAGAGCGCGGTCACAATTTAATTTAAATGATTTTTAAATAATGGTTTAACTTTGAAACTCCTAAAACTTTGTTCCCTAAGGTTTTAAGAGAGTGTCTTGGTTAAGAGACGATTTTTAAAATCAATGTATTTTCTCAGAGTTCTTGCAAAATGTTGAAAATAAGGATTTGAACCTCACGGAACAATTCGATGTATTTTTGAACACATGGCTGTCTTATGGAATTAACATTACTGAAGAAGAAATTCCGGCGGTGGCAAAGAAAATTAAAGAATTCTACTTCGGAGCAGGGAACTCAATAAATAAGAAAAATATCAAACATTTGGATCTGGTACGTTAACAAAACCTTTTAAAAGTGTTGAATAACTAATTTGATCAGTTTTCAGGCCTGGCTCACATAATGACATAATTGATACGGTCTAGTATATAAACTTAGCCTGCTTACATTAACGTTACCTACTTACATACAGTCCCCCACAATTTTACTATCTCTATCAGTTCCTCTCTGATCGATAAAAATCTATTTTCTCCCGGCAAAGAATTTTATGCCGTCGAAATTAAAATTGTAGCCACATTCCTGCTAATGTTATACGCACACAGAGAAAAAAACTTAGTGCATGAGACCCGAAGTTGAGGTCATATGGATCTCTGAAGTTTTCGGATCACGTCTCTAAAAAGTTGAGGTCCAGCTGCCGAATTTCGGGTCAGAGATCTGCAGTACTTCGATATATACCGAAGGGTTTGGGTCACACATCTGAAGTACTCCGGTACATACCGAAGTACTTAGATATCTGACCTGAACTTCGGCAGCTGGACCTCAAGTTTTCGGATGCGTGATACGAAAACTTCAGAGATCCATATGACCTTAACTTCGGATCCCACGCACGAAGTTTTTTTCTCCGTGCACGAGAGTGATTTCCTTTTTAACATCTGTACACTTGCTTACGTAATGGTTGCTTCAACTGACCGACGTACACTGCGGCGATCATTGCAGGAAATATGGTAAACAGCCTTTTTTCAACTTCTCAGTTACTTTACCTTTTATTTTCTAGGTAATTGCCGACGGTTGGTTTTTAAAAGGTATCACAGATGCAGTTCCGTTTCACGCAGGACCTACGCATGTCTACTATTATGATTACGAACAATCTGACAAGACTACTTTCAAGTCGATGATAGGCTACGGCGTTGGTGATGGTTAGTTCTTTTGGTTCATAACTTAAAGCTAAAAACGTAAATTCTGCCAAACGGAATTATGTGCATTATGACATGAGCCCTGTTATGCGTATATTCTTATGGGTCTCAGGGCTCATGTCTCAGTGCACATAGTTCTGTTTGGCAGAATAAACACTTTACAAAACAGTATAGTTTTTAGTTGCCTAGTTGCCTATCTCTGTTTCTTGTTCTTTCCTTTACATACAAGAGGTAGTGCACCCCAAACGTCTCATTGAGGAATTAGGCATTCTTTCATTACAGGGGCTGAAAGTTCCAACATAACGGGGTAGATGCTCATCGAAAACCAGCTATAGTCTTCCAAGTGATATTCAGAATTGAAGAAGTTAAAGACATTGCGTCCAAGAAAAGGAATGCATCTAATTATCTGATATTTCCAATAATCAGGCTAAGCATTTGTCATTATTCAAGGTATTAAGTTGCGCATATTAAATGAAATTCAAGCACGCGGTGTGAACACCAATAGGCAACGAGGATATCAATCGTTCGACGTCGAGATCGAGGAATCAAAATCCTAACCCTAGATTAACTCCTAACCATGGTAATAACTTTTTTTTTTATGAATGAATTCAACCTTTCCGCTCATAGAAGAAAGGATAATTTACTTGGGTTAAATTGCACGCCTCACGTTACTATGGCGGTCTCAATAATATGAAAATATGGCAACCTCAATCTTGACGCACCGCTTAAGCTGTACATACACACTTGGGACAACACAGTGGAAAAGGAAGGATGCTCGATTGAGTAGTCTGCTAAAGCCGCTCTGGTGCGCAGTTTGACTCGCGTCCGGTTTTGTTTTTCTCGTGACCGGGCAATTCAAAGTTTCCGTAAACGATGGACGATGAAAACGTCAATATCTTAGCTAGAAGTTGATTTCAGTAGTTCTCGTTGCGCGAATCGAGTTTTAAGTGAAATTCTAGTGAAGAATCACGCGTCCAGAATGCTTGTTTTCGCACTGCGCTTAATGGCCAGCGAACATAGAGAATTTTCCTAGCTTTCGCAGAAAAAATATTTTATCGGGAGAAACAAGGCAACGATGCAATGCGCATACGGCGCTCGTCGAAACACAAAATGAGCATTTTAAGCCCCATTGTTCGATGCCGCGAATATCTCAGCAGAAGTTCGAATAATCGCGCCAAACACGGTGCGGTCGGCATCAATCTCATATCAGCGCCTGCAAGACTGCATGAATACTTCTCGCATTGCACCAAACGCAATGCAAGAGTTATTTGCGATAACTATTCGACCACGGGTGTAGGCATATGGCCGCTAGCGGGATTGAAGGCGCATCACACTGTGAAGATGACTCGACACTCGATCGCGCTCCATTTCCTGGCGCTGTTTAGACGATGCAGCGATTCTGGAACTTCATTCGCATACAATTCATGTTGGTTTAATTAAAAGAAAATAGAACGAACGATAGTATCGCGTCGAATTTTTTTGTGATTTTATTTTAAATCCATCTGGAAATTTATCGGAAATTTCTAAAAAAAAAAAAAAAAAAAAAACCTGGTGTAGCTTTTAAGAAGCTTTTAAAGAAAAACATTAAATAAAACACAATTAGATATGTGCAACGTCACAATCGCGGATAAGAACAATTTTTTCAGCATGCAGGCGTCGATATACAATTCACGACAGGCGTAACGAGATAACGACAGGCGGCTATTCGACCATGGGTGTAGGCATATTGCTAGCCGGATGAAAGGCGCGTCACGCTGCAAAGATGACTCCACGGCGTTTCTCTCCCTGCCTCGCGCGACACGATGGCCACCAGTGGCGTGGCGTGAATTGCGATATATCGATTGTTGTGCCATTTAAACCTATGGTAAAGAATCGATTATTAAGGTGTTCGCTGCGAACACCCTGTTTATCGATCCTTTTCCATAGGTTTAAATGACATAGCAATCGATATATCGCAATTCACGCCACGCCACTGATGACCACCGTTAAACTAGGATTATCTGTCATTATTCTTGACTTCCTGATCCGGTTTTTACCATAATCAAGGAGCAAATATGTATCCTCATCCTCATTGTAACGATTCAGAAACTCGAATGATTTTTAATTGTATTTAGTCACATAAAAAGGAAGTAGAACGAACGGAAATATCGCGTCGACATTTTCGACGCTCATATTTGAGATAATTTAGAAAACTGCAGGGAAACTCGTCAGAAAAACTGTGTGTAGCTCTTTAAAAATTGTGTTCAATAATAAAACATTAAACGTGGTGCATATCGTTGCAATCAGAGATAAATACGCTTTCCTTTGCAAACGCCTGTTGGCTTTTCCACTCATCTCTTGAATAACTTGAGCCTGGCTGTTCTACGCATTTTTGGATGTAGTTTTTTCGGTGGTTGGCAGCCGCGTAGCGGCCACAGGACTCTAGTCCTGAATCGCGGACAGTGGGTCTACGAAAAAAAGGTCTACTCAAAAAATGTAGACATTTTTTGGTCTACAGTCAAAATGTCTACAATTAAGAAGTATACTTTTAGAATGCCCAAGAAAGTAAAAGTCTACATATACCGTGTCTATTATAGGAAAATGAATACACGATGGTTCTTCTCCATAGATACAACTAAAGAAGTGACTGATGCGAGATCACTCTACCTATTCCATTGAGAAGTGAGCTTTCTGAGTATGGACTTTTTTTTAGAAGACAATATTATTTGTAGACATTTTCCAAATGTAGACCAAAAAATTTAGACTTTCTGCTAGTGGACATTTTTGCTGTAGACCCTCTGTCTGCATACCCTAGTCCTAGTATAATCATCAACAGAGGAATGTATTTCTGGAGTCTTTCCCCGCGTTGAAGATCCTTTATGGGCCAAGCATTTATTCATACATTTGCTAATTTTTTTGCAGGGAAAGGTGCAGGTCACTTAGATAATATACTCAACCTATTTCCAAGCGCTAAGAGATTTCCCAGAAGACAGCTATCTCCACTGGATATGCAAACTTCCAAAAACATGGTTAGCCTATGGACAAGATTTGCAAAATACGGGTGAGTATTGACCCTCTATTGAATGCTGCTACTCATTCGTGACAACGCATGTTTTAGTTTTCTTAAAATTGAAATTTTTCTCCGTGGGATGATGTTAAAAATTTTTATCGATGCAATGTTTTATTTTTTGAAAATATGATTACCAAAATTTTGAAATTTTGGGGAACAAATTATGGACTCTAAGCTTTCACGAAATTTACAGCACACTCGTAGATCTGTGTCCTCCCAGAATCTGCCATCCAAAATTGAATCATGGCATGGATGATTAATGTCACTCGTTGATATGGAGAAAATTCTATATGAATTAATATTCGCGCTGTTTTTGGAGGAAAAATACGGGATTTCGAGCCAGAATACCTACTATTAAAATTCTGCACTTGTCACACAGGTCATTGAAAAGTATGCGCCAGAAATTATTGCATCTGAGGATTTCAAACTCTTTCATGCCTATCTTCTGACAATCGTGCATGTCGAAGGTGAAACTCTCAGACCACGTAGCTCGGTTTGCGACGTCACAGACTTCCTGCCATACTTTATTTTTTAAACGCAAAAATTACTCATCTCTAATTCTTGAAAACTGCCGTTATTTTTTTTCCCTGTCTGAAGAAAACTCTGCAAAAACTTCAAGGAATGAAATTAATTTGTTCTCCTAAAAACAAATAAAATGGGTTTTTAAGCACCGCAAACGGGATACGTGGTTTGGGACTTTCAACGTCGATTTTTGGGATGCATACAGAAACCATATTCTGATGGTTAGTCATGAAACCACTCATATGGTAGCATAAATCAATCAAATAATAGATACGAGGAAATCATAAAATATTCGAGGAGTATGTACGAAGGCCAAGGGGCACTCCTATATAGGGTATGCGCCCGCAGTGCGGTTACCACGCGAAACGATCCCTAAAAGATGCTTATCTGCTGCAAAATATCGCTTCCATACTTGAAATGTCAAAAAAAGCTGGTTCATCTACAATTTACTATCCACTGATAGAAGCAAAACCCTAAAATCTGCCTGGGGAAGTTTTTGAGCAAACTATGACGAGAAAATATAATGCTGGGGAGTCAGTGAACTAATTGGGCGTTTTTATGCTAAAGCGAACTATGTTGCACGCAAATCCTACGCACATAGTTATTTTTAGCATAAATATGTCCGATCGTAATTTTAGAGCCAATGGGTCACTAAACCTTGTTTATTTTATTGAATATTCTGAAAGTACTATGTGAGGAGATAACGTGGTGATTTTTCCGCATTTTCATGGAGCCAAAATCGCGGAGAAAACCGCTTTTGAAAAATCTAAAAACTGCAAGACATTTCAAACGCACCCGAATGGCGGGAAACTGACAAGGTTGATGTACTGCAATTGTCATATCGCAGTCTCCTCTCATTTTCCTCTGATGTTTGTTAAAATAAAACGTAATGCAATGTTGAATTGTTGCTTGTTTATTACAGCTAACATATGAATGAGATTCAAGTTTTGAATTCAAAATATATAATTTCCACTTTAGTATTGTTCTCATATACGAAGAGTAGATAGACATTTGACGGACGTCGTGGAAACCCGTGCCCGCCTCTGATTGGTGCCGGATGACATCATTCGGTGCGGCGCGAAACCGGGGCGTTTTAAATTTGCGTATAAGTTGAGCGATTTGAACTGCGCATTTCTCGGTAATTGAGTTACTTGTTCCCGTTTTTAATGTTCGCATCGTGTTATACGCGTCATTTTCCTTCAGAAAACTATGTTCGCAAGTCAAAATTCGTTCATGGTTTAGTGACCCATTAAAGCGAGTAAAAATTTAATTATCTTTTGTCACTTTTTTCAGAAATTTCACATCAGATGAGTGGGAACCTTTGAACAAAAAGAGCAACAACATCAAGAATTTACACATTTCAGCTGCAGGATTCATTCAAGAGGAAGATCTTTTAAAGGAGAGGGCGAACTTCTGGAAATTTCTCAATAAGAATATCCTTGTATAATTTACTGATAGCCGATAGTGATTTTTATTAAGCCTAGCGGTAAACGAGGGTCGTCCAGAAAGTAGGTTTACGTATTCAACATCTCCTGCATGAACTATGGTAGATGGAGAAAATATGTAAAAAGCACTGTAAAGCTGCTGCTCTCAGCCTTTTAAGACGCTATAGATTTTTAAAATTGTTTAAAAAAATCTCTGTGCACAGTGGTATTTTCTGAACCCACCTCTCCCCACACAGGTCCAAAATTTCACGGAGCGTCATATTATCAGCGAGTGAGCCGCTGTGTCTATCGCTCATGATAAAAAAGAGTGGCTTTAAAGCGGTTGACAAGCGTATAAAATATAAGAAAAAGCTCACACACAAGGACGCAAGGACACAATATTCCACGTTTTTCTGTCAAATTATATATGCATTAAGAAAAGAGCCCTGAGACCATAAGCGTCTAGCCCACTTTCAAACTGGGGCTCTCAAACTGGCACCAATTCTTCTATTTCTCAGCCATTTCTGCACAGAATTCCTTCTTGAAAATTTCAAGATCTGATCTGTGATGTATCCCGAACACATCAAATACCTTCAAAGATCGTCGGCCCGACGATCTTTGAAAAGCAACAGTCAACAGTTCCATCGATGAGTCTCTTTGAAGCCCCTAGTTTGAAGGTGGGCTGGACGCTTTAGGAATATATGCACAACAGGGGTCCATTTCCACAGCCCCCCCACATTCGAATCTTAAACCAAAAATTATATCATAATTTTGTGCTAATTTTGTGCTATTTTGTGCCGCAAATTAAAAATTTTGTGCTGCAAAATTAAGGGGGGAAACGCTCCTCAAAATTGGGGGGGCTGTAGAAACGGTAGCCCCCCCACTTTCGAATTTTCGAAAAAAAAGAATGCCATAATTTTGNGCTGTGGAAATGGAGCCGCATAACAGGGCTCACGTCATAATGCACACAGTTCCGTTTGGCGGTGATACGTCCAACTGTAAAGCAGTAAAGAAGTTCCTTCAAATACGTATGCGGCACGTTGTGTTGTGTCTTCGATCTCCGACTCCAGTCTGGAGAAATTTAAATGGGCTATTACAATTTTCATGATCTTGTATCAACATATTAATTTTCGATTTTTTTGGACCACGGTCTTTTTTTCTGGGGCTAAGATCAAGTGGACGTATTTGTGCTAACGGAAAGTATGTGCATACACGGAAAAAAAAAAATTGCTGATTCAACAATTCAATTGCTAAAACCAGTGAGTGCAATGTTTCAACGCAGATTTTACAACAAAAAAATGCTACTTTAACCATCCCCGTGGTTAAATTAGTTTACAATGTGGTTAAAGTAGCATTTTTTTGTTGTAAAATCTGCGTTGAAACATTGCACTCAATGTTTTTAGCAAATGAATTGTTCAATCAGCAATTTTTTTTTCCGTGTGTTGGGTTTGCATGTGACATCGTTTCTTTTAACATAAATACGCCCAAGTGTGGATAGGTCCATGCGGCGGTCAAGCGCGCAAATATTCGAACTCCGTAATAAGTATGTGATGTGGTATCAAGCGAAAATGAAGGAAAATCTTACTTTTCGCCTGTTTCAAATCACCGGCGTTGATGAATGCAGGGCACTAGGGCAGGCATTGTTAAATGGGAAAATCAAGCGCGCAATTATTCGGACTGTAGAAAAGGTATTTAATGCGGTATCGCGCGAAAATGAAAGACAATCTTAGAATTTAACCAGTCTCGAATTGCTGACACTTATGAATGTATAGGCAAGGGGGCATTATGCTCGTATCGTTGTCCGTGTGGATCGCGGGCAATAGACAAAAAATTTTATCAGACGAAAAATCCATTTTGTTATTGCCACGGTCATCTTTACACCTCATTTCCCTCGAAGCTGGACTCAAGATCAGCGGGTCGATTTTTGAATCGTTCTCGAGAGCCTTGATCGATGGAAAGCATTGCAAAGATACGGATTTACCGATCGAGTTCATTCGATAACGATTCGATAACTCCTCGAGGTTATCAAGGAAGGACATTCTATTCTTCCCTTGTGTTGTGTCGATCGAGACCAAAGACATTAAGACGGAGTGCTCGTATCTAAAAGCACGGGGAAAAAGTGAAGCCTGGTTTGGCGCTGGGTGCTTGTGTGAGTGTGTAAATGAGCGCGGGAATCCATGGCGGCAAACGGAAATTTGATTTGAACTTGTCCTCTTGATTTTCCCACATTTCTTCTTTGGAACGTATTTTAAATGGCTAAAACGAATATATTAAGAAAGTTGGGACTGCGTCCTACTATAATAAATTTACTTTTGCTCGGTAACAGGCAGTAATATCAGATAAAGTTAGTTTTTCTTCTGCTCATGGTGGTTCTGCCGGTTCAAACAGGCCGTTACAGTCGTAGATGACAGATACTCCCAAATGAAATTAATCGGTCGACGACGGACCGAAACTAACCTAAATTTATAAAAATATGAGTGTGTAAGTGAATTTGGGCAAAAGTCAACCTAAAATACTTTGTTTCCGCGATTTTATTTAGTTCCCGCCCTACATTTGAATTTCAAACTTGTCCCAATTTCGTCGCCAATCCTATAGCCAATAGTAGAGGTGATTGAAAAGAAGCTTCATTTTTTGCTTTTAACGCTCCGTCTTTATGTCTTTGATCGAGACCCTTAAGCTACAGTTGTGAGCGGACAGAACAGTGTGAATGGATAACTTGTGTGAGGTTTGAATCAAAGCCCGTTCCGACGGGTCAGTTTTGAAGTCAGCTATGAGGAGTTGATGACTGTTGGGATATTCGGATTGTCCTCTGACAAACTTTGAGTGCGCGCGAGAAGAAAAAACCGCGATCTTCAGAATTCTTCTTGAACTTCTGGGCAATTGCGGAGTGTTCGCATTAATCGCATCGAATAGGCGCGTAGAGTAGATAGTCCATGCAATCGCTGACTGCTCATGTTGTAGATAAATTCGATTTCATGTATACAGCGTATCGGTTAGGTTTTAACATCTTTCCATCAAAGTCAGCTAGTTTTAACGCAAAGTTTATTTTGAAACGAAATTCAGGAGGTAGCAACAGAATCCTTACTGTTTCCCGACGGTATTTTTATGGGTTTGCGAAGTGACGTAACCTTGTGTCGCGCATGCACTTTCGTCGTTTGCCTTCAATTTTCGAAGTAAGTCAAAGAACATTTTTGTGCAATAATAATTATGTATAATTTCTCTATTACCATTTTTTTGTTTTATGTTGCTTGCCTCGAAGCAATTATATTTATCAGACTCCAACCAAACGTGTCTATTCCGGGCGCTTTCGATGATACTAGCTTTATTTCTTTCTCTAATCTATAACTCTGACACGTCGCTGCCTAGCTCGATTCAAACCTGAACAACTGATTGGTTCAATAATAAAGGCGCATATACAGGGTGGCCCAGACCTACCGTACTAGGCCTTTTTTTTCGGTTAATTTGGGTCGCACGAAGTCCAGGATCGCGGGGATGAATAGGGAATTGACCCCAAGGAATCCGAATTTCATGGTCCCAGAGCCCCCCTGGCGTCCCTTGGGGGGGTAAAAGGGGGGTCCGTACTACAAAAGTTAGGGTTTATGTCAAAATTTTGAAATTATTTCATCGGAATCAGAACGTACGGAAAATTTTAACTTAAATCGACACCAAGAAATCCAAAATCGGCCCATTCGTGTCCAAAATACCAGCCCCTAAAGGTGGGGGACAGGGCTCCACAGTCTCCACGTCAATTTAACGAACTTGAATTTTTTTTAAAGGGGGCCCTGTCCCCCACCTTTAGACCCCTAAAGGTGAACGTCGGTATTTTGGACACGAATGGGCCGATTTTGGATTTCTTGGTGTCGATTCAAGTTAAAATTTTCCGTACGTTCTGATTCCGATGAAATAATTTCAAAATTTTGACATAAACCCTAACTTTTGAAGTACGGACCCCCCTTTTACTCCCCAAGGGGCGCCAGGGGGGCTCTGGGACCATGAAATTCGGATTCCTTGGGGTCGATTCCCTATTCATCCCCGCGATCCTGGACTTCGTGCGACCCAAATTAACCGAAAAAAAGGCCTGGTACGGTAGGTCTGGGCCACCCTGTATGTTCACGTTAAGCAGAAAGCTATTGACAAATTCAATCGGGCAATTTAAAATTTTACATGAACGGTTGTGCGGATTTTAGTGCAAATTTCAGTGAAAATTTTTGAATAGCACGATGCAATACGATTGAGACTTACAAACATTCTTCCGAGCAGACGCGAAATTCAAAACAAGACGTCGCCCTCCTGACATAAGGGCGTAACTACACTTTGCAATGAACCCTGTCGACCATATAATTCAATGCATTCCCGGGCTCATCTTAAATTGCAGTTACGCCCTTTAGTCAGACAAGTGACGAGGAGTCGGAAAAGATTAATATTTCATTCAAATGACAACCGAAGTCTTATTTCAATCTTATTCTCTGACGCAAATTATCGAAGATTCTTTATCAAGCAAATAATCGCTTGCTCGCGACACACCGCGCGCGCGCACACCTGAGATCTGCCACGCAGCAGGTGAGCACGTACAGATCTTCCGTTCTACTAATGATTTTTCAAAAATTGCCAAATCGTCGTTTACTGGACGAATGAACGTAACTCCATTTCAAGGTTGCAAAATTGGCTCATGAACGATTCAATTTTTTGCGAGAGTACTCTGAGAAAAAGCTATGGCTTATAAACCAATCAGGTTCATATGGAGTACCACTAATAGTAGTATAGTAGTATAATAGTAGTATAAATAGACAACATACAATGATAGCATATATATTGCAGTGATGGTTTATACTTCAGTATGGTAGGAAATACCTCAGTATGGTTTACAGACCGAGAATCATTACTTCATTTACGACTATTAGTTGTGTTCCATAAGAATCACTGATTGGTTTATAGAGCCATAGATTTTTCTTCGTGTATGCCTGTGAAATAATTGCCGAAAATCTGATTTTCACATAAGATCAGGAGCAAAATCAGTGCAATCTTTAGTTAGATGCGCCTAATAGTCTCCTAGTAAAAATTCAATTTGCAAATAGAAATTTGGCAACATTGAAATGTAGTTACGTTCTTTTGCAACAGAGACGATGAAATATTAGATTGATTTTGTTAAGAATGTGTTAGTGTTTTGCCGTAAAATTTCGAGGTTATTGT